GCAGCAGCAGCAACAGAAGCAGCAGCAGCAGCAGCAAGTTTCTTCTCGTTCTTTCTTAGCTCATTCTCCCTTAAGACCAATGAATGGAGGATTTACCTCTACATACCGTGCAGCAACAGCAGCAACAGCAGCAGCAACAGCAGCAACAGCAGCAGCAGCAGCAACAGGAGGAGGAGGAATGCACCGTAGAGGTGCAAAAACTCCGTCATTATCAACTCCTACAACATCTGCATCATCATCATCATCAACAACAGCAGCAGGAGCAGCAGGAGGAGCAGCAGCAGGAGCAGCAGGAGGAGCAGCAGCAGGAGGAGCAGCAAGAGGAGCAGCAAGAGCAACAGGAGCAGAATATCCATTTAAATTAGATATAGGTGGTTGTCGCCTATCCAAGAGCAGCAACAGCAGCAACAGCAACAGCAGCAGCAACAGCAGCAGCAGCAACAGCAGCAGCAGCAGCAGCAGCAGCAGCAGCAATTGCTGCTGCGAGGATGCATATTTTTATTTAGAGGAAGAAGGATGTTTTGGTATATTTGATGGGGTAGGGAGTTGGGCAATAGAGGGAATAGATGCATCAAGATTCTCTGAGGGTCTAGCAGCAGCAGCAGCAGCAGCAGCAGCAGCAAATCTAAATCCTAGTCATATAACCCCTTTATATAAATGTCTTGATGTAAATAATAGGGCTATGCTGCTGCTGCAGCAAAGTTATAATATTGTATGCAGCAGCAACGAGAATAGATGGGGAAGCAGCACAGCAGCAATTGGATATATAGATAGATATACAGGTAAATTAGGTGTATTATCTCTTGGTGATTCTGTTCTTATGGTACTAAGAAGACAATTATTACCATCAAGTATGTCTTTCTTTGCTTATTCTCCTCCTCCAGTTACACCAGAAGCATTATTACTATCTACTAGCAGCAGCAGCAGCAGCAGCAGCAGCAGCAGCAGCAGCAACAGCAGCAGCAATAATAATAATAATAATAATAATATAGGGTATAATGATATAGGTACTCAAAATGATGGTAATAAAGAGAAGAGTATGAATATGAGTAATATAATAAACAGCAACAGCAACAGCAACAGCAGCAGGAGCAGCAGGAGCAGCAGCAACAGCAACAGGAACATAAGATATCCATCATTATTACGTCGTATATGTTGGCGTACAATTGAACAAAGATGGGAGAATGGTGCACCATATCAATTATGTAATTTACCATCAAAGAATAGATGGGAAGAAATAAAGAAAAAAGGATTAAATAGATTTATAAATATATTGAATAAAATAGATTTAGCTGGAGATACACCCCAAATGGGTTATAGACCACAACAATCATTAATTATACAACCTGGTGATTTAATTCTTTTATTTACTGATGGTGTTACTGATAATCTATTTGATACAGAGATTGAATTCTTTGCTTCTCTTGCTATTTCTCCTGATGAGGCATATATGCTGCAGCAAATACAGCAGCAGCAACAGCAACAGCAACAGCAGCAGCAACAGCAACAGCAGCAAGGAGGGCAACAGCAACAAGGGCAACAAGGGCAACAGAAAGATGCCCAACAAGAATGGCAGTCCTTATATAAACAGGAAGGGAATCAGGAGGAAGGACAAGGATTGCAACAACAGCAGCAGCAGCAACAGCAACAGCAGCAACAGCAGCAGCAGCAGCAGCAGGAGATACGATTTACACCTGCACAAGATATTGCTGAATTAATTGTTAAAGTCGCAAAAAAAAGATCAAAAGATGGGGTATATTAATACAATACTTATTTATTTATTTATTTATTTATTTATTTATTTATTTATTTATTTATATTATTTGTATTTATTTGTTTTCTTTTTCTTCTTTTGTTTATTTCTTTCTTTTATATTCTTCTCTCTGTTGTCCTTTTTCTTCTCGTTAGTCACCTGCAGCAGCAGCAGCAGCAATACAACCACCAGCAGCAGCAGCAGCAGCAGCAGCAAGTGTATGTCTGTGTGTGTGTCTTTTTTTGTTCAGCTATTTGAGCGACCATTTGTTGCTGCTGCTGAGGGGACGAAGCTTCCTGCTGGTGCAGCAGCAGCAGCAGCAGCAGCAGATATGTATAGAGGAGGAAAAAGAGATGATATAAGTTGTGTTGCTGTTTGGGTTAGTGCTGCTGCTCCTGTTCCTCTTCCAACTCATGCTGCTACTGCAACAGCAGCAGCAGCTGCTGCTGCTGCTCCTGCTGCTCCTGCTGCAGCAGCTGCTGCTGTAGGGAAAACTCCCGTCTCGCCAGCAAAAGGCGCAGCAGCTGTGCCAAAGGATACAAAGCAGTCGCCTGCACCAGCTGCAGCAGCAGCAGCAGCAGCTGCTGCTGCTGCTGCTGCTGCACCTTCTGCAGCTGCTGCAACAATAGTTGTATCAGCACCAGCAGCGTCAGCCGCATCGGATTCGGCATCAGCAATGGCAGCAACAGCTGTTGCTGCTGCTGCTGCATCTTCTGCTGCAGCAACTTCTTCTGCCTCTGCTGCTGCATGCGGAGGTGTACGTACACCTAAATCAACACATCGGTTTGCTGCTGCAGGTCGTCTGCCTGCTGCTGCATGCAGCCGCAAAGGTCTATTGGCATCTCCTTCTGCTTCTCCCCGTCTATCACCACCAACAGCAGCAGCAGCAGGATCTGCAGCAGCATCAGCAGCAGCAGCTGCTGCAGCAGCTGCTGCAGCAACACCCACAAGTTCTACTAATTTGTCTAGGAAGACTGGTACAGCCTTGCGCTCCCCCTCTCGTCTTACACCCACCCACAGCAGCAGCAGCAGCAGCAGCAGCAGCAGCAGCAGCACACCTACCCGCAGCAGCAGCAGCAGCACACCCACCCGCAGCAGCAGCAGCAGCAGCAGCAGCAACTGGAGGAGTGCGTTGGACTGCCGGCGTTCGCGTATAAGCAGAATAACAAGCGAACCTCGGAGTCCTGCTTCCCCTACCAGTACACCACGCAAGCCTCTTGCTGCTGCTGCTGCTGCTGCTGCAGCAACAGCAGCAGCAGCAGGGGATCGGTCTACTCCTCCTGGTTCTCCTGGCAGCAGCAGACTGCCACGACCAGACTTTGCTGCATTTGCTGTTTTACGTGCAGCAGCAGCAGCAGTAAAACAGCGAGCAGCAGCAGGAGCATCAACAGGAGTAGCAGCAGCAGCGGCAGCAGCAACTGTACCCAAATCACCAACAGCAGCAGCAGCAGCAGCAGCAGCAGCAGCAGCAGCAGCACACTCCCCTGCAAGAGTACTAGGGAGAAGAATTGGATCTCCGCAGGTTTGCTGCAGCAAAGAAAAAGTCTTTATATCCAATACACCTAAAAAACTAAATAAAAATATTGTTGCTGCTGCTGCTGTTGCTGCTGCAGACACAGACAGCAGCACACCTCCTGCTGGTGCTGCTGCTGCTCGTGCAGCAGCAGCAGTAGCAGCAGCAGGTGCTTCTGCTCCTCCTCCTGGTTCAAGAAGGCTGCTGGGGGGCACCAGACTCGCTGCAGCAGCAGCAGCAGCAGCAAATGCAGCGCAGCAGCAGCAGCAGCAGCAGCAGCCTGCTGGAGCCTTTGCAGCGAAGACACCCGAGAAGAGGAATGCAGCAGAGACTCCTACATTAGCAGCAGCCACCAATGGCAGCAGCAGCAGCAACAGCAGCGCTGCTGCTGCTGCGGGCGATTTGCAAGAGCAGGCAGACAAAGCTGCTGCTTCTGAAGTGCAGCAGCAGCAGCAGCAACAGCAGCAGCAGCAGCAACAGCAGCAGCAGCAGGATTTGTCATTGACCTCCCCCGTTGGTGGTAAGCGGAGATCTCCTCGCTTTAATGGCCGAGCAGCAGCCCTTGGGCAGCAAGCTGCTGCTGCTGCTGCTCCTGCTGCTGCTGCTGCTGCTGCTGCTTCTCCAGCTGCTTCAAGGGTAGCTAAGCGCAGCAGAGGGACTCCTCTGCAGCAGACTAAGGCCAAGAGGCCTTCCCGTTCTGCTGCTTGCTGAATGCAGCAACTGCAGCAGCAGCAACAGCAGCGGGAACATCAGCAGCAGCAGCAGCAGCAGCAAAGAGCATTGTTGTCTTTGTTGTCATTTATTTTAATTACCGCATATACAATATACACTCCGTTACTCCCTGCTCCCCCAGCAGCAGCAGCAACTGCTGCTGCTGCTGCTGCAGCAACAGCAGCAGCAGCAACTGCTGCAGCAGCAGCTGCTGCAAGTTGCGGCAGGTGCATGAATAAATAGATCGCTGCAGTGGCAATGCTAGGAGAAGAAGCAACAGCAGCAGCTGCTGCTGCTGCTGCTCCTGCTGCTGTTGCTTCTTCTTCCTGTTGCTGTTGTATTTAACTGTATATACACCACAAGGTGTATATACACCGCAGCAGAGGGGAGTATTAATAACCCTAGGGTTTAGGGTTTAGGGTTTACAAGAATATGTTTTTAGATCTTTTTATTCATCTGCCCTTGTCTTCCTCCTTTTCTTAATCGCTGCTGCTGCTGCTGCTGCAGTGCAACGTAACAAGTTGCAGCAGCAGCAGCAGCAACTGCAGCAGCAACTGCAGCAGGAGAGGGAAACTTGCTGCTTTGTTGCAGCAATTGCTGAGTGTTTAACACACAGTGCAGCACATAGGGAGCAGCAGCAGCAACAGCAGCAGCAGCAGCAGGAGAGTGCCTTTTTGCTGCTGTTTGCTGCTGTTGCTGCTATGCTTCGTTGCTGCATGCAGCTCTCCTGCTGCTGCTGCTGCTGCATCTGCTGCAGTGCCTCTTTTGGGGCTTTAGCTGCTTTTTCCTAACTGTTTAAATCTGCATGCATGCATTTTAATTAAATAATTTTATTTATTTATTTAATAATTATATTTATTTATTTATTTATTTACTATTTGCTGCTGCTGCTGCTGCTGCTGCTGCTGCTGCTGCTGCTGCCTATACACCGCAGGACTACTGTATATAATATAAAAAAATTAATCCCTTATTTATAGTTTGTTTAATAAATAAAAAAAAAAAAAAAAAAAAAAAAAAAAAAAT